CAATACAGAAGTCAAGAAATTCCGAAAATACCCTCAAGGGTCAAAACAGTAAAAAAATAACAAGAAATTGGGGGATGACACGCCTAGGCCAACACGAGTCGTGTCAGCTGACACGGGCATCCGTGTTGGCTCCCTATTCGACAAATAAAATGAATAGGTGTGTCAGACTTGCTGACACTAACCGTCTCAGCCCCCTGCTTCCTCCTCCAACACGGCGTCTATCATCCTCACCTGACACGGGTGGCTGTGTCAGGCCACTGCAATGCTTGAAAAACTCCTCCGAGTTTTCCCAAATCTCCTATTTCTTCGCCCGAGTCTTTCACCTTTCTCCGTATGGACCTTAAATCATCAAGACCACTACCAAATGCGTAAAATGCACCAAATATAATAAAATCACTAGAAAATCATATGACTCAAGAAAAACATAAAAAATAGTAAATCTCACTCAAAACAGTAAAAAAGACTAACATAAACATTACCAATTCGTGGATTAGATGTCGAATAAGTGTGGAAAACAACATATAAATGGTGACTGATCACTGCATCACCATCATAAAATAAGAAGAATGAGAAGATTTCAGTGATGAGGAAGCACAAACGAAAAGAGTAAAGGAGTCGAGCATCACTTACCTAAGGTGAGATAACAGCTCTCTAAAATACTCACCAGAAGTATGGAATCTCCATATTCTATAGAGGTTTGTTCTTCATTCTTTTTTTGCACTTTCACGTCGTTGTACATTATTTTATGATTTTTCATGCTTTTACTACTCTAATTGATATATTTTTATGTAATCACTGGAAAATATTGAAAGATGGGCTCTGGGGTTTATGTTTGGGATAAGGCTGATTTTTTTATTTGTTGATGATCTGGTTATTTTGTTGTTAGTTTTTAATTGAGGGTTAAAAGGGGGTGATGGACATTCAAGTGTTCATCTCCTCTTTCATTCACTTTCCCTTATTTAATCCAGAAAAAATGAAAAAAGAAAATGGAATCTTATTTTTTTGGGCTGAGAGAGAGAGAGGAAATAAAACTGACGTGTTTCTTTTCCTATTTTAATTACTTGCTTGTTTCTATTGATTTTCCCACGTGGAAATCTTTGAGCCCTTGGATGCACATATTGAGTACTTTGACCAGAGCTCTCATGCAGGGAGCCCCATTACATTTCCATGCGCTCTAGTTTTCTCACCCTTAGATTTATTTAATCGCTGAATCAATGTGTGAGGTTGAGTCAACCATATTAACTTATTTAGCCCTCTTGGACTAGGTATGGCGCTCCGGGCCAACTGTTATTCGCCCCCCCCCCCCCCTTTTGTTTCTTTTTTCTACATTTTTATTTTATTATTTTTGTGGTAGACCTGTAGGTCGTTTATTGTTCTTTTTACTTTTTACGCCTTTCCTTTGTTTTTTTGTTCTCTTTTTTAATTACTTTATTAACTAAAAAACTTTTAATAAATAAAATCAAGCTTTTCTCAGATAAAAACCTTGATCAATATCAATTATTTTTAAAATCAAACTCAAAAAACCTTTTCATCATATTAAACTATTTTCAAACGTGAATCAAAACGCTTGATCTTATCAGGTTCATTTCTAAAACAAATTAAAAACAATTTTGATGAATTGGAATGAAAAATAAATGGTTTGGTGTATGCTTCTCTTTTCCCCGAGTACTTGGATGTCTGTTGTATAGCTTATCTTCCAAGTACTTGTCACCTTTACAATGTTCTAATTGGTTTTGCATCAAAAAAAATTCATAATAAAAATGGATGAAAAATGACTAGTTAGGCATATGCCTCTCTTTTTTCCCAGTACTTGGGCGCCTACTGTATAACTTGTCTTCATAGTACTTGTCATATTTAAAGGATCCTAATTCATAATTAAATACTTTTCGCAAACAATTTGGATGAAAATGGCTAGTCAGGTTTGTGCCCCTCTTTTTCTCGAGTATTTGGATATCTGTTATATAGTTTGACTATTCGAACATTCGTCATCCTCCTAAGACCATACTCAACCAATAAAATTATATTTTCTATCCCTCGTGCGATCGAAGACCTTTTCACAAGGAACATTGTTTTATCTGTTCTATTGTGAAACAAAGAAACGCTTAAACCTCCCCTGCGAGCATACAAGCAATGTTTATCTGCTAAAATGCATCCTAAACATTCGTTCACTAAAATCAACCAACATACGTGATTTTCTAACACGAAATACATAGATTTGAGTTCCCCATCGCACCTGGGGATATGTAGGAGTGAGATTCAATGTTTCGTCAAGCACTATGATAAAAAAAAAACAAATACATCTTTCTTACCTAGAACTATGTAGCTTTGAATTCCTCATCGCACCTAAGGATACGTAGAAACAAGAATCACAATCTTGTCAAGCACCCTAATAAAACAACCTTTTTTGTGCCCTTTTCTTTTACCTTTTCAACATTTCAATAACCATAAGAAAATAAATGAAAAAAGCTAACATTAGTCAAGACAAAGTCAAACCAAGAGTTGTGAGATGCATGTTCCTTGGGTATCCTGAGGGAGTCAAAGCCTATAGGTTGTTGTGCCTAGAACCAGGTCACATGAGGTGTATTATAAGTCTTGATGTGGTTTTCAATGAAGTAGAGATGGCATTCAAAAAAACTGACGACGCTGGTAGAAATGCAAAGATCTCTTAAGAAGAGCAAGAACAAGAAGAATTTTTGTTAAGGTGTAGCACTTGGGAAATGAAATGCACAATCATGGTGAAAATCCAAATTAATTTTCTCAAGAAGAATAGGAGTTCGAAGAAAATGAGGAAACTGTTGATGACTACCTATTGTCAAGACACGGGTCGAGAAGCGTCATCAAGCCACCTCTGAGGTTTGGTTAGGTAGACCTCATTGTTTTTTTCCTTAATTTCAGCAAGTGGGGTTCTCGGTGAAGAACCTAGAGATTACAAAGAATTTATGAGAAGTCAAAATAAGAAGGAATGACTAAAATCCATGGATGATGAGATAAAATGTCTTCGTGATAACCACACATGGAAGCTGGTCGAAAAACCTGCAGGGCCAAGTTAGTCAATTGTAAATGAATTTTCAAAGAAAAATAAGGAATTGAAGGAGTTATGTCGAAAATTTTTCAAGGCGAGACTGTTTACAAAGGGATTCACTTAGAATAAAAGAGTAGACTTCAATGATCTATTATCTCATGTTGTGTATCATAGATCCATTAGAATTGTTCTTGCCATTGTGGCTAGGTTCGACCTAGAATTGGAGCAGATGGATATGAATAAATTCTTCCTATATGGTGATCTTGATGAAATTATCTTGATGAAGCAACCTAAAGGGTATGAAGAAAAAGGTAATGAGGATTATGTGTGCAAGCTGAACAGGTCACTATATGTCCTGAAACAATGTCATAGGCAATGGAAGAGGATATTCGACAAGTTCATGACACACGTAGGTTTCACAATGAACAACTTCGATCATTGCGTCTATTTCAGGTTCTCACCTGAAAATTCATTTGTCATCTTATTGCTCTATGTGGATGACATTCTCATAGAAAGCAACCTCGTCGAAGAAGTAATGAGAGTGGAGGTTAAACATAATCAGGAATTTAAAAGGAAGGACCTTGGAGCTGCAACCAGGATTTCAGGTATCAACATCAAGAGAGATAGAAAAAAGTCAAAATTATACTTATCCCAAGAATCATATCTAAGGAAGATTCTTGACAGGTTTGGTATGTCGAACTCAAAACCTGTTATAACGCCAACAACTCAGCAATTCAAGTTGAGTTTAACTTAAATTCCTAGCAATCACTGTTAAATGTGATACTCAAAGTGTCATACATCTATCAAAGAGTTCAGCCTATCATGAGATAACCAATCACGTTGATGTTTAGCTGCATTTCGTCAGGGAGAAAATCGAAAGGGGAGAAGTCAAAGTGTTTCGACTGAATGCAATGTTGTTGATATGATCACCAAGTCATTATCAAGCAGCAAGTTCTTCTATTGTATTCAATTGATAAAATTGCATGATGATAGCTAATTTGTTCCCTCTATGTTTTAGAGTTTGTTCCAAGGTAGAGAGATATGTAGTATTGGATCGAACTCCAGTCTCGATGGGGGTAACTTTAGGATTCGATAGGATCGAATGTGAATGTTGTACTTAAAGTTTGTTCGAGCATATGATATTCGAAGATAGGTTATGTATTATTTTATGTAGTAGTTATGTATGTTATGTATAAGTGTTTTTTTTCATACATAACATACATATGTTAGTAGTTTATAAATAGGTTGGTCTCTCACTTGTTAAGAGAGAGATTAGTTTTTATTTTCACTTGTAATTATTTAACGCTCATGAAAAAGTGAATTGAATTACTTTTATAACCAATTCTATTTCTCTCTTCTCACTCTTCGTGAATTGAAAGGTTTTTTTTCTTGATCAAAAAAATTATTTCTTCCTCTCAAATTTACATTGTTCTTGACATCGATCAAAAGAAGCTTTAGCACATGAGGATGGTAGACACCAGCGAAAGAATACCCAATGAATTTGGTGGTGCAAAGTACTTTCTCTCACTCATTAATGATTTCTCAAGAAAGTTATAAGTTTATAATTCTTAAAATTAAGGATGAAAATTTTAAGAAATTTACACAATGAATTATAGTTATGTTTTGAGAAGTTCAATCAGATTTGTAGGAATAAAGGGATTGTGGGGCATAAAACATTGAGAGCAACCCCTCAGCAAAATGTTCTTGCTAAGAGGATGAATGGAACAATAATGAAAAAGACACTTGAAGAAGAACGGTATGGAATCCTCTCGGCCTTCAAAACCTATAAGTGTTTGTATTTGTGACATGAACATTCAAGGAAAGGAAAACTTGGTCATAAGGATATAAATACATATGAAATTCATTGCAGATGAATGAGTTAATTTGTCCACAATGAAACAACGCAGGTTCATTCAACTCATAGTGTTTATTGTAGAATTTGATCTTTTTTGTAATTGTCATCTCCATACCTGCTACATTAGCTGACACAATTTGTTTCATGGTTTTTCTTTGCCTTGCCTGCATTACATGTGAAAAGGTTATGTTAGTTACATTATTCTCAAAATAAAGGTATGAAATATTCTCAAAATAATTATATTATTACATAGTTTATAGCAAGGTTGCTTGAGTGCCGGATCATCGGTTGATGATGGTGGTTCCTGCCCAAATATCATCTCGCAACTCATATCATCAAAATCTGTAAAATAATCTTCAATTTCAAAACTAAGATGATGTATATTATTGCATATAGAATTTAGTGCATATTTTAAAAATTAATTGGAGTATTTATTTAGTAATAAAATATTTGTGAAACCAATTATGAGTTAGTTTACTGGTGGTGATTGGCGCTGGACTTAAAAGGAAGGATCACGATGCGATTCCAACAACTTTAATCTTAAGAGTATTGGAACTACTTGATGTCAGATTTGACCCTCGAATTGGATTAGTCGGTCAAGAGGATTGAACACTGATGATGAAAATAATATATATATATATATATATATATATATATATATATATATATATATATATATATATATATATATATATATATATATATATATATATATATATATATATATATATATATATATATATATATATATATATATTTGTGAGAATAATTCTTACTTGGGACCATGTTGACCGGCATACCAAAGGAATCTTTTATGAACACTTGAGATGGCATTTTGCAAAGATTAGTACACATTCCAACACAATTTGTTTCTTCTAAAAATCTGCATGTATTGTTTAAACAAATCTTAGGACAAGATCTTTTCATGTGAAAACAACTAGTAGTATATTGTGGACAGTTTTTTTAAGATTAAAATTTGATGAGAGAGATCAGCTAAAGGTACCTGCACTTTTTTATGTAGACAATGTTTTTTTCTCTTCTTCCATTGAATTCTGATTCTCTCACCTTTACATAGTATAATGAGATTAATGTTTTAGTCATCAACAATTCATCAATAACATATTAAAAAGTAAAAAAATATCCATAACCATTTTTTTCCCCTGTGTTTTTTTTTTGAGGTAAACAACTCTTTTTCTCTAGAGAAATAAAAGTCTTGCATTGACACAAATGTTTCAAATTTTTTTCTAGAGAAATATAAGGCTTATATTGACACAAATGTTTTCAATTTCTTAGCATTCGATTCAACCAAGAAAATTATTCTTATTAAAAATTTTTTTACTTTTATTTTTCGGAAGAGTGAGAAAAAAATATTATATTTTTCACTCTTATACAAAAGTTGAGTATCATATTATAATATTTACCACTATCAAAATAGTTTAGTTGCGTCGGTTATTGTGTAATCAACTCTCGTATATTGTGATAATGATAATAATAGTTATTAAAATTTTACACAACTTACTCTTTTAATAATGCACCAAGTACATTAATAATGATTGTCATTTCGGTCAATCATTTTTAACAAAGAACCATTACTTTATTGTTTGTATCCTTCTTCTTCTTGGAGGCTGCTTATTTATTTAGAGCATTGCTATGTCTACACTCAATTTCTTACACTTGTATGTACACCGTAGCTTTTTTAAGGCATTTGAGCATTGGCACAAAAATCAAAGCATAAAAAAAACTATTAAAAAAGCAGAATGTATGGTATAATGTATAATGATACGGTGTGGTGTAACATTTTGGTGTCATTTTAGCATTTCACATTTATTTAGGAAAATGTATTTTATTAAACATTTTGTTTTTTTTAGTAAATTGATTTATTTTATTTTAACTCTATCATAAATGGTGTTCTTTCTTTTACCAAAAGTATTATATGTTTTGGGTCGTTCATAAGGGCCGCGAAAAATGTTTAATAATGAATGTTGAAGAAGGCGCACGAAATATATGGACATCCGCCCCTGTTGAGGACACATGATTAGGTCCTTTATCACATTTCTTATTGGTAGATCTAATGAAATAACAATATACGCAAGTGCTTAATCACGCACGGACGATTTTAAATCGTCCATACTACATGATGATCAGTTCGCGTCATTTTATCTATTCAATTCATTCTTATCCTAAAATTATTTTTTTGAATGTTAAAGTATCAACCTTGTAAATTCATCATCCTCTACAAGGTACCAGACGTCCAACACATTGCATATAAATTATATTCATCACTTCTTCACCAATCTCAGTTTCTGAACGGAAGAATAATAATTTTTTAACTTATGTATCATGAACAATTTGAACTAGAGGGAGTAATTATAAACCGTTAGAATTGTTTATATGAACAATTCAACGTGGCAGCTTATGAAACATAAAATGGAGCATTATTTAGGCAAATGACACTGGAATGAGCTGTTTCTTCTCTACATAATTGAATTTCCTAACTCCTTCCTAAACCCTACATATTTTCTTGTGTAAAAATATAACTAATTGAAAATGACACCAAATAAAAAGTGTAACCTTTTTCAATGGGTCTAGAATCAAAAGGATGTGCTCTTTCCTAAATTGCGTGTTCCTTTGGTTTATAGGAATTACAAGGCATTGTTGAAATTGTCACTATCCTGATTAGAGCATAATATATTTTGAATAATTATTTGTTTTAGTCAACATTATTATAAATTAAAAATGACACCTATAATATATATAGTAACATATAAACAAGTCATAAATAATATATATAATTTTACCTCGGAGGGACCGAGTAACCAAGAGAAAAACAAAGTGGTGAAGACGGCAAAATATTCCCTTGCTAATTTTGATGGTGGCATTACTCTCCTAATCTGGAAACATAGTAATCACATACGTTAATATCGTGTTGGTGTGAAACTAGACACGAATTTAAAGTCAGAGTAAAATTTTGTATAGATCAGTTTAACACAAGAATATTTAATACCTAGCAGAATTTCGACATGATATCTGGTGTCATGTCAGTGATTCATGAATAATTAATGAACTTAAAAAAAAGACATGAAACATGAGAGAAAGCACAAGAAGAACAAACCACTGAAAGTATTGGCTTTGGAAAGGCTCTATCAAGTGCATCTAAAACAACTTCTTGCTGTTGAATAGGACTGAATTTCTTGGAAGCCACGGTAGCTGCTTCAACAAGGCTATCAAAACCAGTCTTATCATTACTGATTCCTGCACAAGATTCAAAACTTGTCACTATTCATCAACAAAGAAAAACACAAACTGAGTTATTTTATTACCTGTTGCTGCTTGAACACTTTTTGATAAATGGTTTATGGCTAATTTATCAAACCAGTTATCTTTGTATACATGACTTTTGCTTGATGTTTCTTCTGTAGGACGTGCGAGAACTCCAACTACAAAAGTTTGTTTTGGCTTATGTCTTAGGTTCCAATGAGCCAAAGATGGTGTTAGGCTCATGTTATGTGTAATCATTTTTGCATCCATTTGTGAGTGTTATTGAGTTTCACGTGGGAGAGAGGATTAATATAAGAGAGGCTTAATGAGGACAAATGGGCATGAAAAGCATCTTTGCCTAAAGGTCATGTTTATGATTCTATTTTAGGTGTTTTCTTTTGTTGGCTTGTGGTACTTCTAGTTCCATCGACATAGTATTTGTAAATTATGATGTTGTTTAAGAGTTTATTATGCAGACAATTTATAACACGTTTATAAATCATTTATTTTTATATTAACTCTCCAAAATAATTTATAGAATATTCATCGAGGTTGTCTTTTGAAAGAATAACCTATGAGCAATTACTTAATGAAATCACAACAACAAATGGTAAATATCAAACACACAAGCATTGTTAATTTAGGTGATAGTTTATTGCCAATGAATTAAATGTTGTTCCATTTTGAATTCTATTTCTATATGTGTTGGAGAATGCTGGTATAAAGTTTATTCATTATTATTTTGTGATATTATCCTACTAATTTCTGTTCATCAATGGAATACATGTTCGATTATCAGATTAATTTATGCTTCAGTGTAATTTTGTTTTTGGTTAATGAACTTTGTTGGTATTTTTGATACACTATATTAGGGTGAACTCATGACCAATATCTTATGTATTAACTTCTATAAAAATAAATTGATTTATTTTATTTTTTATTATAAAAACAATTTATATAAAAATATTAAATAATAAATGTGTATGCAACAAACACTATAGAAAAATAATTTATTAATAAAAAAGATAAATATCACCGCAATACAAACAATTTCAAAGTATAAAAAATGTCTAGAAGATTGTCAACACTATTATAAATAACGCTTATAATGTCTCACACGAGAGAGATTTAATCTCGGATACTTAGGCAATGTAACGAATGGTAACATGAAAATATGTCACTTAACACCTCGAATAACTAAAACTCGAAGGTTAAAGTTACATGATTATGGGTTCGAACTCTAATATCTATATTTCTATTATATACAAAAACAACGCGTTATACCTCTCGATTTATCCAAAAACTGATGGGTAAGATAGATTTTTTTTTTAAAACAAAACTCATTACATTGTTTAAACATAATATTAATAAAATAATTTATTTAAAAACTACAATGTTTATCTAGAATATTATTGATCGTACCTGATCAGAGAGATTGCTGACTGGCCACGCGTCGTCGACTGACAGCTGTTCATCGGAGGTGGGGAGAAGGAAGGGGGTGTACCTGCAAGACACTCTGATGCTTAAGTGAGTAAAGGATCAGAGTGGGAGCAAATACAGAAATTAGGTGTAGAGAATGAATATTTGACCCTCTAGTGAAAGAGGGTATTTATAGTGAGACCCCAGCGCAGGGCCAATGGTCACTTGCATTGGGCCATATGGTCAGACCCAACCCATGTGACTGCTAGGGCTTACGTGGCGTAGTGAAGATCAGCACGTGGTCTTCGCCCTAGATCAATTGTCTTGTGATCTCCGGAAGGTGGGCTGACCTGCTCTTTTTGAGGTGGGTAGTTGTCTGATAACGTGTCCCTGCGGGGTGGACATGTGGAGATCGTGTGGGAGACGTATGGTTCTGCCCGACAACGAAAATGTCTGCTCGGCATATCTAGACTCGTGCCCGACATGCTGGATTTGGGCCTTGTTGGGCCTTCTCCACCTAATGTTGGTTGGGCCTGCCCGACGGATGGGCAGGTCTGAGCCCACTCCAGAACAGGAGCCCTCCAAGTCGTAGCTTCGATGCGGAGGAGTGATGACTTGACAGCAACCGTGTCGAGGATGAAGAAGGGCGAGGATGGAGCTCGTCGGACTGTCATGTCGAGGATACAAGGAGGCGAGGTTTTGAGCTCTTCGAACTATCAGGTCAAGGAGGTGGAAGATTGTCGGGCCCCTGCTTTACCGTGCTCGAGGGGGGAACGGAGGGACGTGACTGTTTACGGTGGCCACATGTCTGATACGCATTGTTCCACTTAGGGAGGCTACCCTAGGGCACTCGAGTGCCTAGGAGCGCTTCGAGTCCCGTGCCGCATTTATAAATAGGCAGGTGCCTGCCCTTTTATCATTTTTCGCTCTCACTCACTATCGCACGTCATCACTGGATCTTTCGCACACGCATTGTCGTGCAGCACAACCACCGTACCGTCCGTCGCGAATTCTGCCGTCTCTCCGCCTAGCCTACTATATCAAGTAAGTTTTCTACTTCTTCTCTTCTGTTTTTCTTAATTTTGGCATCCTCTGTGATGGACATAATGAATGTCCCGAGGAGGATGTCGGTTTTCTGGAGAATACGGTGGGATCCCCTTGACCTGGGATGAAGGCCCCAAGGTCGCCTGAGGTATCAGGACGAATGTCTCGGGGACGGACAACAGGGTATGGATGAACGCCCTGGGGACGTAGGATAGGGTTAGATGAACGTCCCGGGGAGGGTCGATAGGTATAGATGAATGTCGCGGGAACGTGTGTTGTTGTTGGATGAATACCCCGGGGATGGTTGCCATTGACGCGCGACTGTGTTGCCGTCGAGGAGGAGTCTAAGTCGTAGTCGTCGTCCTCATCGCCCTTTCACTTGATTCATGGTGGAATGGTGAATTTGATCTTGAAACGTCGATTTCACTGTTTCCCTCTGCTTTTTAGGTGATCATGGCTGCGTGGGTAGCAAGAGTTATGGAGGTTGACGTGGAGCCAGAGTCTTCGGTGGCCCCACCTGTCGAGGGGCAGGCCCGGACTGTCGAGGATTGGGTCGGGGAAGAACCTTTAAACACGCCATCCTATTTCGTCGAGGAAGACTCCGACGCTTTTACGACTATCGAGGACCGCTGTGAGGGCTCTTTTGTGAGCTGGAAAATGTATCGGCCATGGAACCATTACCGTATACGCTTAAGCTACGGGAAGATGAGGTTTCCCATGTACGCGTTTCGCTTCCGTGAGGAGGGTCTTCGGCTGCCCTTCATTGATTTCCAATTAGGTGTCTTCGATTGGTTGAAGCTGGCACCTTCTCAGCTGTACCCTAACGTATAGCCTTCATTCGGGCGTATGAGCTCGTCTATTGGTATTTGAAGATCGGGGCCACCTTTACCCTGTTCTTTCAGCTTTTCCATCTACAGAGGAAAACGGTAGATGGCCGGCAAGGATGGGTGTCGTTGAAGCAGCCAAGGAGGCTTTTCCGGGCGTACATGGACTATGTCCGAGATTTCAAAGAACGATTTTTTATGGTCCGGCCTATTTCTCTCGATGCATGCGCCTTGTTGTTCCAACGTAAAGCCCAGGAGGTGAACGGGCAGAGGGAGGAAGTTATAGTGCCGAAGGTGCCACTGGATTGGTCGGAGGAACACTTCAAGAGAAACATGGATTGATATATCATGTGGGCAGGGACTTTGGACGAGGAGGACCAAGTGGGTTATCAGAGGCTGGTGTCCTTCGTGGCCAGTTTTACCCCAACCAAACTCGTGACGTTCGACGGAAACTTTATCCTCGACGGTCGCTGGAACGTCCTCCAGCAGGCGAGGCTCTTAAATACGAAGGCTCTGCTCGAGTGCTCGTCGGACAAGGAGGCTCTGTGTTTTCTAGGTAGCGGGCGGTGTTTTGCTCGTCTCTTCTGTCCTTGGTTATCTCCGTGTTTTCTAATCCTTTCTTTTGTTTTGCAGGAAGCATGTCGACTATGCAAGAGCGCGTGAAGAAACTGGCGGCCTCCAGGGGAGTGGCCAAGAGCGGAAAAGGGAGGGTCGCCCAAGTGATGCAGCAACCTCCTATCGACCAGGGTGGAAAAGGCTCCTCGTCTTCGCCCTAGGGAGTCATTCCCCTATGTCCCAAGGGACCCCAAAGAGGGTGATGGTCCACGGTCCTGACGCTGTCGTCGATCTCACAGAGGGTGGCACCAAGGAGGGTTTCCTTATCCACCCATTGTCATCAGCATCCTGGATTCTTCCACAGGGCTAGGTCACCTGCGGTGTCGGTCTCAGAAGTGAAGGTGATCCTCGAGGCAAGTCGGGATGTCCGAAGACAAAGGCTTACCGAGGACTTGGTTACAATGATGCGGGTCTTCTCGACCACTCTGGTTTTAAGTGATGAAGGTTGTTCTTCGTTCGAGCAGGCTAAGTTACAGGGGGATCTTGCCTTTGCTGAGTCGAGGATGACCAAGATGGTTTCTGATCTAGATCTAAGCAGGGAAGCGATCATCGCGCAGCGCAAGAAGAATAGTGAGGCCGAGGAGCGACTGAAAGCCTCCGAGGAGGAATGGTCGAGGTTAAAGGCGCAGATCGAGGAGCTGGAGACTTCCCTTCGTCCCACCGAGGACGAGACTGACGAGGAAAGACTCTTGCTTTCTCGGGCTGAGTTGTTGGGCAAGATCCATGAGCTCGAGCAAGACTGTTTGGGGGCCGTCGAGGTCGGATTTCCTAACATTGTGGAACAGCTCAGGGTGGTGAATCCCGAGGTTGCTCTGATCACCGAGGGGATGGGGCCCTACCACCAGGTCGTTGATGGACGGGTGGTCGCGATAGGCGCCGAGGAGGATGATGACAGCATGCTCGCTGAAGAGGTCGAGCGAGGTCAACCAGAGATTGTGTTCCCGGGTCTGCGTGCTCGTAAGTTTCCTGGCATGTGTGCCTATTTTGTTAAGTCGTTTTGTCGAGCCTGCGTGCTCTTTTATTGTAATTCTGGAACAGCTGAGCTAGTGCCCTCGATTGTATAATGACTTCTGTATGCAATGATGTTTTATCTTTTTGCTAAGTGTGTGCTCGTTTATGTATGGTCCTTTGTATGCTTCTATGTTTGTATGGACCTTTGTATGTTCGTATGTTTGTATGGTGGGAGTAGTAGCTCGACATGATTTGTTGTGCCCGATAGTGTAGGGAACTGGCCGGATGAACGGGGTTATTACCCGGTCGGTTATGAAAAGGGGGCTCGGGGTCGATACCCTTTCTCCGCGGCGTGGACGTCCCATCGTGAGTTGGGTGTTCTGCCACCTCGGTACAGCGACGGTGACTCTCGATTAA